GAGAGAATCTTTTCCAGTAAGATGCACAAAAAACCCAATAGCACTGCCGAATGATGCAATTTCTGCTGACCCATAAAAACCAAAGCAATGCTCAAACTTAGTTTCTGGTCAATCCAATAATTATTTAATACAATTATTTTCATAAAGCAATGCAGTTCAACCTGTAACTAAGCTGATATCATGCTCCTTTTTATATTCAAAATATGTCAGAATATTTAAACCCTGACATTGAATATTGTATAGATAAGTGAAGCAAAAGAACATAAAGGAATAATCTGTATTTTCATGCAAAGCTATTTAATGATGCATCAAACTCCCAAGTCCCAGCTTCCCAGCAGTTCAGTGAAAAGATAGACAACCTCTGAGGTCTGTTCAGCCCACACAGGGCCTGAGTCACTCTGCAGAAGTGCCTGTCTCTCATGATGGATTGCACACAGAGCTCAGCAAAAGCAGGCTTCCAAATCGATGCCCTGAATACGTGCAATACAGATGTGCATTCAGAACTTTTTATCAGAGATTTTACCTTTGTGTCTTTGCTCTTGGACCTGTAGGCATGCATGTGTATATAGCAGAAAAATATTTTAGAAGGCACTTAGGTTGAGGTCAAGGGTCTAAGCAGAAAAGTATGTGATCAGAACCAAATGTTTATGGTTTAAATTACCATCTTTCTGCTCAGATATTTTAATTCCCAACCAATTGTAACTTTGCAAGTGACAAAAATTCTGCAGATATTTTCCCTGGATAACTTGACTTAGTCTTGCAAAGTTTAGAGACCTAATGGCAGTTTTCAAGGATAAACTGGGCTCAGGACCACATCCTATGCATTGTGTGAATAATTTCAAATGCAGATTTGTTACCACTTCCTGTCCCTAGTGATATATCCCCAATGGGTACATCTCAGACACTTGTCAGCTGAAGGCTTAGTCACACCATGTTTCCAGATCTGATGTCAACATGCAGTCACATTCTTCTTGCTGTTTCCAGCTGGGGTGGCATTAGACTGTGGCATCATTTCCTTGCCCCTAGTCTGTAATTCTGTGCCTCTATTTCCAGCTTCAATCCACTTTTACTATTTTGGTCCTTCAGGTTGTCAGTCCAGTTATTTTTGTATGATCTTACCTCTTCACCTCTTCAGTGAGGATTTACAGGCTTATTATTGCCAAATGTTGTTTGTATTATCTGAATTTCTTTATCAGTATCAGTAAAACACACAGAGTTCCAAACACATCATTTGAAACTTAGCTAGACATCTTCTATTCCAGTAATATGCCTTTTTGTCCTAATGTTGTTTCCTTCCTTTAAACTGTGTTGTGATTCTTTGTCATTTCTAGAGCATTTTTTCCAGAATAATTTTTCCTTTCATGGGAGGCATTGTGTCCAACACATACAATCCTATCACATGGATTTCCCGTGTTCCTTTTCTTAGAATATTCATTAGCTCAAAAAAGATATACCAGGTTATTTTGGCATAATGCTAGTCTATTTTAGGGTAAAGCTGTTATTCATTATATTCCATTTACATTACTTCAATGACTGTAGCTATGCAAGGCTTCATAGTTTATTTCAAATCCTGGCACAGCTCAGGAGGTAACAGGCATTTTTTTAATGTTGTCTGGATCATGTGCACTCCTTTTGCTTAAAAGAAATAAAAGCTAGGTTTTATTTTTCAGATCCTTGGTTGCCAGCCTGATAGATTCATTAATAGTCTTTGTTGCTGAACTGCCCTTTCATGCACAGGTATTTTAAGTACTCTCAAATGGAGGTTATGGAGTATTGCCCTCTTGATGCAGACACATCCTTAAAAATAATTTTATGTCTTTGTTTTCTTCTCATCTTGGATGAGTAATTTTCATTTCCAGAGAGCATATCATTAGCCACACTGCATTTGCTACTGGTAGTCAACATCCCTGTATTAGCTTTGTTTTGGACTGCCTGTAAATTGTCTTTAATCTTAACTGGTTTTTTCTGCTTGGTGAAGCCACTCTTTTTTCCTGTTTTCTTTTTATTTGGATTATGAAAGTGCATTTTAGTACTTGGAATTTTGCAAGATCTGACCTTGCCTAACGTTTTCTGTTCTCACTTTCTTCATATATTTTCTGACATCTGACAGTTTTCCTCACATATTTATTTTATATTACACCCTAAAAGCTTTCTGCATATTCCAGATATCCTCTGAGGTGACTGCTCATCTAGTTAGAAATGAAGTCCTTTGTTATAAAATGTTTCTCCCAATGTTTGAAACTCCAAGTTTTTCACCGTCTTCAGACAGTCTTTTTCTTAAAGGAATTATTGCATTTTCTTGAGTCTTCCTTTTTTTTTTTTCTTTTTTTGTTGATGTGTTGTTGGTGATGATTTTTAGTGTGGAGTTCTGATTGTTGTTTAGCATTTATTTGTGCTGCAGTTAATTTTTTAAAAAATGGAATGAATGTGTCATCACTTTGAGATACAGCTTTCTTGACCAGCACTTTGTCTATTTAGTGAGGTCTTATACTTCACTTTTCTCATGTTCTTTGTCACATCCTCAAATAACTGGGTCTACCTTTCAGTGCTAAAATTTATTTTTTGGGAAACTGCAATCTCACCTCACAGCTTCCATAGTGATAGCTACTCCTTATTTACTATTTCATAAAATTATATGTTTTCTAAATAATGTGGAAATTTATACACAACAAATGGGATCCTACAAAAACGTCTCTTAAAGAAAAGGTTTTTTTATCTTACCCAGTAGTTAACTTCTGTGCTTTTTATAATTTTCTTACAATTTATCGCATACTTGGTTTATACTTCATCACATCATTATTTTTGTCTTGAGGAAGGCAGTAATATTGGTACATGTGGGTGTGGGAAATAAGCAAGAAGGGGATTCCTATGTCAAACTGACTTGCAGATCAATTGCATTATCCATGTGGCAGGGAAAATGCAGCGAGATATACAAGTTATGGCAGGGAGTTATAGCCTTCTACACTTCAATATAGTCCTTTCAACCAGATTTTTGTGCAGAATATTGCCATTGCTTTGCAATTAAAAAAAATCCAAATGGCAAAATTAATGTATTTTAAGGGATGGTAAAGGTGAAAATCATGTGTGCAATCTTACAAATTCATGCTAGTTAGATTCCTGACAGTTTCTTTTGGTTGGGTGCAAATGATCGTCCATTACATCTCAAAACTTTATTAATTTTGGATTTTTGGTGTTTTCTTGTAAATAACTCCTCTGCATAACCTCTTTCATGAGAATATTTATTAATTTTCTTTCAACAGACTGTTTTGCATTTTAAGTGAAATTATTCATTTCCTTCATGCATCATGCGTTAGATTAGGGTATCTCTAACTGAGAGAGGTTAGTGCTGCTGGACCATTGGTAATAATTGATACAGAGTGGTTTCTGCCTTACTCTGTCATTTAGACATGGGAATGAGAAAATGAGTCCTACTTTTATTAGAATATCTTTTCTTCACCAGCAGACATCAAACTGTTAAATCACAGTAGTGCCTAACATAGAGAATGCAAAGTCATAGTGACAAGCAATCCTTCAAAGGAAGGAAAATTGATATGTTTTTCCTTTACATTTTTGTAAGCTGCCCTAGGATTTACCACCACTTTCTGGATTGGCTTTATGCAGTTGTCTGTCAGTGAAGCAGAGTAGTCACTAGAGTAGGTTTTATTCTGTATTTTATGTCCTTTTTTTTTTTTTTTTTTTCTTTTACTTTACCAATGGAGAGTTATTCAGCAATTTTTAAGATGGCAACTCATGTTTTGAAACAATAACTAACACATTCTCTTATGTTTTTGCTTTATTGCTTTATGTTTTTTGCAGCTATTGAACTGTATCTTGTCTTAGAACCATGTTGGAAAGCAAGCAGTTTTCTTGAGCAACAAAATAATTTTTTTCTAATTAAAATTGTCATTTATAATAATTATTTAAACTCCTTCTTACTGGCAGCAGACTGGGCTTGTATTTTTCAGGCAGTTGACTCTAACCAGGGGAATAAATGTATTTAAAATAGACTGCAGTTAGATTCTGGTTTTAAGATGCATTGATAGGATGGGAATATTATGTAAATCGGATATATATTTAAAAGATATGTATTTTAAAATTTAATTCTGTTTTGAAAGAGATGCAATTGTTTTCACATTTACTACCTAAAATTGTATAGGAATGCTACAGAATGAAGTACTGAAAGTTTGCTCCTGGAAGTTAGTGTAAAAAATGACAATTTGTATGTAACATAAATAAAGAAAATTGTCCAGCCTCTCATCCACCAGTGCCCCCAAGTCCTTCTGGGCAGAGCTGCTTCTGGTCTGTTCATCCCCCAGCCTGTGTTGATCCTGGGAGTTGCCCCAGCCCAGGTGCAGCACCTTGCACTTGATCTTGTTAATCCACATGAGATTCCAAGGGACCTTCTTCTTGAGCCTGTCCATGTCCCTCTGGATGGCATCACATTCTTCAGTGGTGTCAGTTGCCCCACTCAGCTTGGTGACATCTCCAAATTTGCAGAGGGTGCATTTGATCCATTTGTCTGTGTCATTAGGAAGATAATCAATAACACTGGTCGCAGTACAGACCCCTGAGGGACTCCCCCTGTCAGTGGTGTCCTCCAGGACTCTCAGTGTGACCCCAGCCAAGTCCTTGTGCCCCTGACACCTCACCCATCAAATCTATCTCTCTCCAGTTTAGAGAAGGATGTTGTGGGCAACTGTCTCTAATACTCTACAGAAGTTCAGATAAATTTTGTCTGCAGGTCTTCCCTTGTCCGCTGATGTAGTCATTCCATCATAAAATGGCGCAAGTTGGTCAGGCAGGCCTTGCCCTTGGTGGAGCCATGTGCTGGCTGTCTCCCTGCTATTTTTAATTGCATATGAACTCTGTTAAGTTCATCTGTTAGTCATGTTCATTTAAAGATGTAATTGATGGAATCTATTTTAAAAGCTGGATAAGGAAATACCACTTTCTGAATGAGGAAAGAAGGGTCTTGACACACTCTTTCCTTCCTTTGCTAGGCCATGGAAAGTGTGACTGTGGGAAGTGCAAATGTGATGAAGGATGGTACGGTGAAGCTTGTCAGTATCCAACTACTTGCAATCTTACAAGGAAGAAAAGCAATGAAATGTGCAAGAATTCTCAAGATATCATCTGTTCTGGTGCAGGTAAGATGTCTTTTGTTGCTTTTGATACCTTAGTGCTCTCCCAGTGTTATCTTGAGAATCACTGTCATTTCTAACTAGTGCTTTTGTATAGTATGTTTCATGAGACTCAGAGTAACTGTAGGTGTACTAAAATGTTTAATTTTCCCATAGGCTTATTTCTGTGCATATAATGTGCACTGATGAGGAACACCTACTATAGTACTCTGATTTATCCACAGCTGTTGTGAGTTGATGCAGCTGCAACTGTGCAATTTATTTTCCTCATCAGAATGCTGTTGCAATGGCATTAACACTGGAAGTGATGTAACTTCTATCAAGTGTTTGTGTTTACAGAATTCAGAAATGGCATTTGCAAATATTTTTCCTGGACATTAATAAGCTGTGCAATTTTTTTGAGACACTTTTGAATTGTACCTGTGATTATTAAAATCAGTTGTAGAAGATGCATTGAATCATTTAAAGGAGCATTTCCATCTTCACTATTCTGATTTGGTAACACTCTATACTCTAATTTTTTAGTTTTATAAACATCCTAACTTAAAAAGGTCTTTTCCTTGAAAAAAAAAAATTCAGAGGAAAACCAAATGGCATTTTAGAAGACTTTATTGAAGAATGGTACCATTTTAAAGGGCATTTTCTACCAATTAAGTTTTGGGACCAGAAATTGCCTTCTGGTTTTTCCATTACATTGACCTCCAAGTGGAAAAATGTTTTAAGAATGCCACTTTTGCTCACCATTGCTGGTCTTTAATTTCTGTTGGAATCCACACATACAAGTAAATTTCTCGCAGGTTAGTTGCTGACATGAGCAAAAATTTGTGGGACTTGTTAGAGAGAAGGTAGAACAGGGTAAGAAACCAGTTCAACATAAAACTATTAGCATGCAGCACACTGAGTAAATGATACGCTTAATGTCTAACAACAGATGTATGAAACTTGCTATCAAGAGAGCCATGAGAGATAGCTAAATGAGAAACTGACTTTCAAAAATAAGTATATCTTGCTGTACTTATTCAAACTTCTTAAAAAAGAGCCTCTTTCCCTGGTTAGAAGTGGCCCCAGTCTTCACAGGAAAATGAACATAGCTTAACAGCCACTCCAAGTAGCTAAGGGGGAAGTGTTTGTGGCATCATGAGAAGAATAAATGGTTTTGCTTTTGCTAGTATTAAACAGGACAGGAATTCCAGTGAGACTGACTAGGGAGTTTGGCTAACTTTGATGGGCTGTGTTTTGTCTTGGTGGGATTGCTTTTTGATCTGCTACTAACACTGTCATTGAGGTCTGGGCTCTGTTTTGTAATTGCCAACAAAAGATAGGAAGGGATGGCATGAACTGTTACAAACACAGATAATAATTTATTGTAGCTTTTTTCAGTAACCAATCGAGATCCACCTAAAAATTCATTTTTCTGACTTAGTTCCTAATCATTTGTCAGAACAACTAGAGTATCCTCCCTAAACTGAGGTTCTCTATGTGAGCAATTTTCTCTTTCCCCAGTGGAAGGAATGAATGTTTTTATTATACACCAGCTCTCTGACCCGTTTAGAATCTCTGACCAGTATAAGAATCAATTTTCAGTTTTATCTTCTTTTCTGTTCAGGAATTATCTGTAATCATGACAGTTCTCTCAAAAATTACATTTGTATTTGTTTACCGAGTAATTGTAGCAAATAGCTCTAGTTCAGTAGGTTACTTATATTGTATTATCGGTTGTATTATCATTGTTATTACCTTACTATATTAGCTCTTGCATACATTTTTACAATTTACTTTTAGAATGACCATGTCTGTCACAAAGCCCAATACTTCTGTTCTTTGGATTAACGTGACGTTTATTAAAAGTCACGCTATGCTTGTGAGGGTAAAAACATCAACTGGTTTCTGCAATTCTTGTGTAATATCAGCATAAAACTTCTATTTTGGAGAACTTCTCTGATGCCAATAACTGTGTTTACAAAAATACACATGGACGCCATGAGAGGAGTATGAATGTTGTGAAGTGAATTTTAAAAAAATCTGTACTTGCTGGCATAGTGATGCCATTGACTACTGAAACAACTTGTTTGAGACCACTGGCCCGAAGGCCACAGTAATGTGATAGTGCACAAAGTTCCCACTCTTTCAGTTTTAATAAAGGTAGGGACAAGGAGGTTGTTATATGAGTGGCATAGTAATACTTTTGTTTCTAATGTCATTTCATGTTGTTTTGGGGTTTTTTTGTTTGGTTTTTTTTGTTTTGTTTTGTTTTTGTTTTTTTGTTTTAACTGTGGAACTCATTTGTACAGTTACTCATGATCTCAGATCAGATAGCCCCTCTGAAGGAAAAGAGGGATTCTTCTTTCCCAGGGAGCAATAAAAGAATTTCTTCCTATTAAGGAGAGCAGGTCATGGAGGGAGGCAGCCACTGAGCTGAGGGGCAGCTCTTCTCAAAACACAAGGAGCAAATTTGTGACATGATGAGCGGTGATAGAAGAGAGATCTGTTTACAAATCCATTTGCATCCTTTGCTGCATTGCCCGAGTGCTCTGGTTTTTCATTATGTCAGAAAATTTTTTGTGGTTTTTTTTTTTTTTTTTTTGTTTTGTTTTTGCTTGCTTGGGTTTTTTCGGTTTTTTTGTGTGGTTTATACTGTGACAAAACAGCTTTACACTTCAACGGCACTTGAATGCTCTATCACAGCTAAGATTAGGCTTAGAAACACAGCTAAGATTAGACTTTTTGTTGATATGGATAATTTCTATGTCTGTCTTTGTGTGGATGATCTTTAGATTTCAGCCTTCTCAGAAATAAAATATGTAGCATCTCTGACACACTAATGAAACTCATAGTTTCTATAATCTGCAGTCATTGGGTAACGTCTCTTAAATGTTTACAGGCACATGTCAGTGTGGCAGGTGCCAATGCGCTAACTCAGAAGAAAATGGACTGGTATATGGCAAATTTTGTGAATGTGATGACAGAGAATGCATTGATGATGAAACAGGAGAGATTTGTACAGGTATGTATCTTAATGAGTGCAAGAAAAGTGATGATTAATACAGGCTATTATTTAACTGCATGGTTCTACAAAATATCTTTACTGAATGTATGGCTTAAAATAAAAGTACCTCTATTTGCAAGACTTCACGCTGCAAATTCTAAGTGCAAATTTCAGATGTAAAAATGAGCAAACCGTAAGGTTAAAGAACGAATAAATCCTGTGACATTCTCCTCTTTTTGGAAGAACTGCAAAGAGAATTGTACAAGATAAATCACTAAGGCAATTCATAGCTTAGTGTGTCTGTCTTCAGTAGAATATATATGAAGAATGTGAATGCTTTCTGACACAGATAAGAGAGAGCAGAATGGAGAACATATAGAAAAAAAAACCCAAAAAACAAACCAGAACATAGATTATTAGGAATTTTGTCAAGGAAGAAAAAATTAAAAATACTGGGAATAAATGTAGGATGATAACTCAGAATCAGGAAGATAAGAAGAGAAAGGAATGAATAATGAATTTCATCTGTGATTGGAAAGGCAAAAAAATAAGATGAAATTAACTCCGCTGACAGACAGAAAAGCAACCAAAATTCAAACTGTTCTTTCATGTCATTATAAGGCAGTAACCTGCACTCAAGAATTGTGCAATACACACCATTTATGGCATTATAAATGCTGTTGCCTGTGTTGAGAAGGAGGCCTGTGTTTGAGCTGGAAGGTGCTACAAACATTGCTCAAGCTACACACGTGCAGATTGTGTCCATATGCCCACAAGAGTGTTCCAGTCTGCTCCCAGACTATTCATATCTGGTGGCAGTGCTTTGTGTGTGTGTCTGAAGAGAGAGAGTACTTGTGTCAAATCTTTCTCTGTCTTTTCCTTACACAGACAGCAAAATTCTATTTATTTAAGGGCCTTTGAAGGCAAAAAGAACTTTTTTTTAAAATCCTGGGATTAAGTAGGGATTTTAAATGAGAGTATGCAGAATGGTCCTCTGAAGTCCAGATTTGGGAGCTCTTAGATTAGTAAGAATTGCAACTACTTAATTTAAAAGCTTTATGCTGTGAAGCACATGGCACACGTGCACACCTTAGCAGATGAAACTATTCTGGAGCTGGTTTCACCCAGACTTGAATGATGCAGTCATCTTTTTTGGGATATGTATGTATTGTTAATTGAACATCTGAAAGATTAATTTTGAAAATAATTTTCCTTAATGATCTGGTTTAGCCATGTTCAAAAATCATCTTGACAGAGGGGAAGAAAGGAAGCCATATACAATGTAGTTGGTGTGTAATAAATCAAGATATTTTTGCTGCAACTAGCTGAGGAGTCAAGAACACAAAATGTGTTATTAGACATGCCAAGTATGTGTCCTACCTTGACGTGTAAAGCTGTGCTTAAATTTTAATGATTACGGTCTTAAAACTTGTCCATAAAGTAAAAAAAACAAACAAACAAAAAAAAATATTAAAAGTATAAAAATGATGTTGTCAGTTAGTGTTTATTGATTAGATTTAATCTATGATTAAAGGAAAACCGGCTCTAAAATAGAGGGGGAAAGTGTAGTTTAGATATCTTTTGTCTGATTTTATGTATTCATACATGGACTATAAATTGTTTCTATTCTGAATCTAGCGGTAAAAGTTTTTAAAAGAAAAGATCAAAACAGTGAAATTGTTAATGCCTTTTAAAAACCGGCCTCTTTCTCACTGTACAAAATTTGTTTTGGCTTAAGGCCATGGAAAGTGTTACTGTGGAAACTGTTACTGTGAGGCTGGTTGGCATGGAGATAAATGTGAATTCCAGTGTGACATCAGCCCCTGGGAGATCAAGAAGAGATGCACATCTCCAGATGGCAAAATCTGCAGCAACAGAGGTGTGTCATTTGCATGGACCTTCTAGAGATGTTTATATAGCTGGCTTTTATTTCACTCTATGCATTCTGTACAGTGGGACATAGATTGTGCTTGCTGAGAGTTTCTACTTGTTCTCACCTATTTCAGCTCTGGATATACACTTCCAACTGGGTAGTTGCCTGTATTTAGGTATAAGCTTACACATACTCACATCTAATTCTTGATTAAGTAAACTCAAGTTGTTCTCATTCTTTGTTTTTGTAATAAGACTGAGCAGGATAATTTGTTATTTAGTGCATATTTGTTTTAGTAAGAGACCTGCCTTGCAAAATAAATATTACCAGATTTTTGACTTTAAACAGATTGGTGCTGTAAGGTCACAGAACTGTATGTCAATTCACTCTTAAAGAAGACTTAAGACCCACAATGGAATGGGGAAAATGAAAACACAAAGCATTTAATTTCCACTACAATCAAAAAACACCTGTGAAGTATTCAGTAACAATGCTGTGTAATGTATGGACTTCACACAGTTTTTCTAACTACATAAGGTTTTATCTGCACACAGTTTTGGAATTTGAATTTTAATTTATACTTCTGTCTAATTTTGCTATTTTGGAAAAAAAAAACAAACACAAAATAAGGTTGCTTTTCACTAGCTGCTGTGAACAAGGAGTTAAAAAAATAGGGTGTTCTTTTGGCAATAAACCAGAATAATTATAGTACTACATAAGCAAGAGTCACATAGATACTTCTCTTAAAAGCATCTCTGCTGGCAAAACCTGCTGTATTGTGAACATCCAATCATCCTGAGAACATTTAGAAACCTCTCTTCTCGTAATTAGGCTCAAATTGAAAATTTGGCTCAAATACAGAGATCATGTAGGTTCATTTAGTCTTGAGACTTCAACATAAAATTTTCGTGTAGTTCTGGAAATAAAAGATTTCAAAGTGTCATCATATCAGATGCTTTCTTTGCACTGAGAAAGTAATTTCTTGGCAAAGAATTTCTCGTCAAAACAAGCTTTTAATCAAATTTGAAATTTTAATATGTGATTATTTCTTTAAACTGGAATTGCAATAGGAGAAATTATGTGAATAGCATAGCTGATGCTCTGAGTAGCTGCAACCTCCAATGCAAAGGTACATTTGTGTGATACTTTCATGCCTTTAGCCTCTCATGTATTTGTGATTTTATCTTCATAAGACTTTTGTAGGCTTCTAACAATGTGAAGTTGCTTTCCAGCAAAGTATTTCTGCTCCATTTAGTCTTACTTACACAGTTTTCTGTGTTTATACATCTTGTGATATAAGTACAGTTCATCTTGCCAGTCTTGAGCCTTCTAAAAATCAAATATTGAGGCAAACCTTGCTATCCACCCTCCTTCAGTGCTAAGAAGTTCTTATCTTTTCCTCTGCACTATCTAGTCAAACAGTTTAGACCACATGTGAAAACTTAGATTTTTAAACTTTGGTGAGATTATATTCTGCATTCTGACATCCAGGACAGCTAATCTAAATTAATTTGAAGTTGTTTCTTGGAGGATTAACTACTCTCCAGAGGCATTTCCTGGGTTGGTTGCTTGGTTCGATGGTTTTTTTTTCTTCTTTAGTAATGCCACTGAATTGTGAAAGTATAAAAAATTAGGCACAAGTTTCTTGAGGGCTGTCTCAGGGTTCTTAGCATTATATAGGGCTGTAGCTCTTCCTGCTCATGCCATGCATGCTGGGTAGTGTAAACCTTCTCCTTTTATTTGAGAATGTGCCCATATCTAAGCGTACTGTTTAGTCATCCTGTCCTGTTGTCCTCAAACACATTATATTGTTTAGAGTAACCTAAATACGATGACAAATGTGTTGGCAGAGTAGCAGAAGGTGAAGCCACTCTGCAAGAAATGAACTGCATGCATTCAGTAAGGTCAGGCTGCTTCTATGAGCCTGTTAGCATCTCAAAAAATGCAGTGAGTGTGTTGCCCTAAAGCATATTTGGATTTCTGAATAAGGAAAGTTGTTCTTGTTGATTGGGGGTTTTTGCTCAGATTTTCGTAAATGAGTAGGGTTCATATTCTCTGCATATTAGTAAAATATGCAAATTTGTTTTCTGTTATTCACATTTCTTCTTATTGTAAGCAACAGGGTGTGGCCCTGAATATTGACTTGGGAAAGTGGAGGAATATCCTTTCATGTAGATCTGTGCTGCTGTTCTTCTTAGGTAAAGAATGGCTTCCTAGACTTTTTCAGCTGTGTTAATTTGGATTCTCTTGTAGTTTAAATGTTTATGCTTTAACAACCATTAATTATCCCTTGTGCCCAAGCCCAAGTCATTTAAACAGAATTGATTTTTATTGTCATTACTGACAGGGCAAATTACTGTTGATGTCAAAGATGTACAACTGTTCTGTGAGCTACATTTCTTGTTGACTCCTAGCAAGGCTCAACAGCAAAAAGAAACATGAACAGGAAGCCAATTTTTTTGTTTAAAGTATTGCTACTAAATAACCATAGAAGGTTTCAAATTATAGAAGATGAGCACACACTCAAGATTATCACTTGCAGCTTTGAAATTGCATTTCTGTGAGCGCTGAAAATTCACAAGTGTAAATTCCTGTAATCAAAGTGCTGTTACTCTAAATTACACAGTTAACCTTCTATCTCTGTCTTTTTTTTTTAATTTTATTTTTTTTTTTACATTTTTAGGCACATGTGTATGTGGGGAATGTACATGCCATGATGTGGACCCAACTGGTGACTGGGGCGATATTCATGGAGATACTTGTGAGTGTGATGAAAGAAACTGCAAAGCAGTGTATGATAGATATTCTGATGACTTCTGTTCAGGTAAGTTTTGTGTGTAAAGGGGACTTAGGTGTAGTTTTATAAAATACCTTCCAACTGGTCTGATCTTCCTCTTCCTTAGTGCTCCAACTCTCATTTTCCTATTTTAAAATATACCAAGCTTGGGGGGCAGGAGGGGACTTTTTAAATTAAAGACATAATTATGTATTTTTTTCCATGCCATGTAACAAAATTCTGTAAAAATTAGATTATTTTAGGAAGAATCTTTTAGTTTCTTCTAATATCCTTGTGTTTAGTGTAATCTAACATGAATTGGATAATGGTTGAAAATTTAAAATATAGGTGTATCCTTTTTTGGGAAAATTTGAATTTGAAAGTTCATCAGATCAGACTGTGTTTGTTATTTCATTTTGTATGACAGAGAGATAGATGATAATCAAGAAGAAGAAATTCAAGGAAGAGTAAATAAATGAGTCAGTGAAAAACAGTCACCTGAGAATACAAATTGACATGAGACCAAGTAGAGCATCAATACTTGAAAAATATGAATATGTGGCCCAGCTGCACTTCTGTAGCTGTAGCCCAGACTGTACATCTTAGACACATCCATCTTCCTTTTTCTTCTACTTGGACTTAAGAGCATTATATTCAAAACAGTTTGCATCTGTCCATCCATCCATCCATCCATCCAACCATGGTTTTGCTGTTTAGATGTTCCATGTATCAACTAACAAAGGCTGAGATTCTGAGAGAGACCTTGCATGCAATTTTCTGTGGATACTAATAATGATACTAATACTAGGCAGGAGAGAAAGACTTTGTTCAACACACAACATGCAATTTGTACACATAGGAATTCTGCAAAAGCAAATGGATGTGATTTCAAAGGGACTTTACAGATTGGAGGTTGTCAGCTTCAATGCATCCTGTAGAAATCTGGTCTGGCCTCATTAATAACAGGAAGAATGCAGTCACATCAAGGACAATAATGATGTGATATAATTTCATCCTATTCCTAGAGTGAGATGTGTCCCACAGAAAGATGATTGAAGTTGCCTGTAAAAGAGAAAGAAAGCTGAAACCAGCGTGATACATAAAATGTTCAGCCTTTTCTTTGCCTGTTTAAAAAGTGAAAAGTTTCTCAACAGTTGTGGGGCTTTTTTTGTGTGTGTTTTTGTTTTTTTGTTGTTGTTGTTTTGGCTTGGGTTGTTTTGTTTTGTTTTTAATAAATTTAGAGGAATCACTAGGTAATAAAATGGGGGTAAAAGAAGCTTTTCCAAAATCCTTCAGTGACTTAATTTACTAGTTACTGTTCAACCACTTGCAGGTACTATATGTTTATTTAAGGGTTTATTTAATGAATAAACTGGAATTATGTAGAGCTGTGTGCAGTCACGAAGTCATGAGAGCAGCAGGAAGATTGAGTTGGTTGTCAGTTTTTGAATGTATCACTGTGTTGCTGTCAGGGATTTTAGCACACATGGACTGATCAAAATATCAGCATCAGCTAAGGAATGCAAAGCTACAAATCAACAAGGTAAATGCATTCTATAGGTATGGTGAACACAAGTTTCAAACCTAATTAAATTAAATCAAACCTTGTCATCTACAACTAATGCTGTGAAACTGAAAAAGTCATGCTTGAACTCCCCTTTCCTGGAAAATATTGCCTTTGCAGCTGCTGCTGCCCAGGATGGTAATGGTTGTAAGAAAGCAGAGGGTAAGAAAGTACAGACAGTTACAAATGAGACTGGGGGAAGACTTTGCCATTTGGCATTGGATTAAGGACTGGTACATTGGTCTTTGTTACGCAGACATAACTGTAAATGAAGAAAACTTAGATATGAAATGAAGGACTCATATGGCTTTCTTGAAGTGACTAAAACTCTAGTATGATTTTGTTTTTCCATCTCCTCATCAAAAATTTTAGTGCTAATTATTTTTATCCATTTCCTTTCCATTATGTTTTAGAAAACCCTAATTTAGTCTTAGGTGGCCATCCAAGTATACTTTCCTAAAATAGATTTGCAAAAAAATCCATTTGCACATGAAGCAGTGTTAACAATATCTTCTAGTCCTGCTGTTTCATCCTGTTTCAGAAATAGAAAAGATGTATAAGTTTTAATTTTGGTTTATTGTGGTAGTCAGGCAGAATCTGCAATTAAATCAAAGATTTAGTGGAGGAATTGTAGTGGGACAGTTTTTTTAATTGCTTATATGAAATAAATATTTATTGCACAAAGTGTACATACATTAGGTGTATCTGAAAAATAACCTCATTGTTTCTCACAATTATTTGTAAATTGATTTGGTATGAATCCAAGAGTGATTAGTTAGATTAGGGAAAATAATCCATCTCTCTTAAAACCTTCATCAAAAAGAGATTATACAAAATTTTCTTGTCTTGTTCTGTCTACCTAATAGGTAGAGACAGGCAACCACTTCGTCCTGAGTAGCATGGAAAAATTATAGGAAATCCTGTTTTCACATAAAGAGCTTCACTGTGACTGAATGAAATTCTGTGTTTATTCAATAAAATAAAATGACAGGAATTGACAGCCCTGATGTGAGGATTTAACATCACATGAGGGCAGCTCCCTGCAGAAGCTTCATATGGCTTGAGGTGACTTTATTTCACAGTATATCATACTGACTACTGGATGCCTTCTTTTAACACCTGAAGTGCCATTCAGAATGTTCCTGAATTATTGTCTTTCAGAAGTCTTCTTGACATTAAAGTGATCATCTTCATTTAAAGAGATAATAACACTCATTAATTGACACAGAAGGAAAACATGCTTCCGTTAAGAAAATTTGTCTGGTCACACATTTCATTAGTTCCTTTGCTGTGCTTTAACAAAGAAACTATTGTATGAAAGTGCCTAATCCTCCCATAAGTATCTCTCTGGGTCAGGGATCATAAATCCAATTCACAACCTGTCAGCAGGTACACATGAAAGCAAAGGAAAGAACTATGGGATCAGAGAATGGTTTGTGTTGGAAGAAACCTTAAAAATCATCTGGTTTCAACACTACCAGGGACTCCTTCTCTGCAGGGACACCCTCCAGTAGACTGGGTTGCTCAAATCCCCATCCAGGCATCCCTTGAATATTTCCAGGGGTGGGTATCCACAGCTTCTCTAGGCAGCTTGTTCCAGAGCCTCACCATCCCCACAGTAAAGAATTTCTTCCTTGTAATCTAATCTAAACTCATCCTCTAAACAAGAGGAAGCCTGTAATGCTTTTCAAGGAAAACAACTCATGTAAAGAAAAGTAATTTTGTGCAATTAATAAAACTTGCATTTTGGGAAGTAATCTGATGACTCCTAGAATGACTGCTTCCTCCCATTTTCTCCTTGTGAGCTAACAAACAAATATGTTTTATAAATTGGTACTAAAGGGCAAATATGGTTAAAAAGAGATATAAACCTCTGTTACTATGGTTTTCAAGAAGAACATGGATAGAAAAGTGGACATTGGAGCAATGCTTTGGTCCTGTGTCCAATGAATGACGACTCTGTGAAAATTGTGAGAGATCTAAACTGCTGTCTGAGCTCATGAAAATAGATATTTGATTTTATGACAAGGAATATTTTTTTACTGATTCTCAGACTTTTCTTAGGAACATTTTGCATTGCCAGAATCTCAATGCTTTTTGCAAAGAGCATAAAGAGAGAGAACGACAATTATCTTTTTTTTTTTAGTTTTTCCTGAGAAAAGCTCAAGAAAAATTCCATATGTTTGCTTTTATATGAAGGAAATATATGTGCAGGGAATAGTCTCAGACATGCCATAAGATACCAAACAACACATCTAATTGTCCTACTGAAATGAGAATGGCCAATATTTCAAAGCTTTATTATTTGTATTTCACTGTTTAGTAGCAGACACTGGTTTGAGGCTTGGAATTTATGAGACAATGGTTGTCTCTAGTGGATCATGTTGATTGCAAGTAGATAAAGGATGGTATTGATATATTTCTTAGGGAATATGCTGCAACCATGGTTGAAAACAACATAAAAATAAATTAAATATTGCCTTATGACATTCCACATTTCCAAATGGTGGTAAAATGTGTATTTTTAATCTCTATTCCACCCTTTTGCATTAGATCATGTGCTGAGTGGCTAAACATCCCTTAAGGAAAAAAACAGAAAGGGGAATATGGCTCAAATGGAATGGTAGACAGTACTATTTTCAGAAACAAAAGTAGGTATAATGGATTGGTTGTATTTTTTGCTAGTCTCATTACTGAATGAAGCCCCAACTGTGATAAAGTTCATCCAATTAAGAGTTTTTTATACCTCATCAGAATGGAGGTTAATCTTGAATTGTATTCATTATAAAGGTCATGGACAGTGTAATTGTGGAAGATGTGACTGTAAAGAAGGATGGACTGGGAAAAAGTGTGAACATCCACATTCGTGTCCAATGTCAGTTGAAGAAAGTGCTAAGAAATGTCAAGGAAATTCCAATTTACCTTGCTCTGGAAGAGGTAAGTACATTTCTGGAAGAATTTTCATGCCCTTTAAATGTACTTCCATTAAAAGAATTTTTATAGATGCCCAGCATTACAAGTAATGAAAAATGTGTGCCTTCTTAGCTTACTGTGCATGACTCACACCTGTATAACTTGTGATTTAGGAGAAGGGAGGAGAAGAATACAGAAGTCACCTATTTTTCCTGCTTTGCGTTTTATTTCCCATGTCTTAACATTTATTTTGGAGGTTGTCAAGGGTGCTTTGAAAATTGCCATAGTTAAGTCTTTAATAAAGATACATTAAAAATATGGATTTAGTCTGCACATTTTTTGACAAAAGCAGCATGAGATTTTCAGCCTGTGTAAAATGTTCTGGCACCATTGTGATGAAGACTGTTTGGATTTACTCTGACTAACAAACTGCCCATTAAGTGCAGGACTGACTTCTATAAAATACAGTCATGCTTCAGCACAGTTTGCTAGTTGGCCGTTGGCTTTTATTTGAAAGCATTTCTTTGTGACACTGTAGCCTTTTCAAGAGCTTTGACTAAAAATATACACTAAGTCATGCACACACTTAAAAGATACATTGCAAGCAATTTTTCTCAGAAGGAAAAGGACCTGCTAATTTTCCTCTGTCACTGTGTGAAATGTGGTTTTCTGCAGAGAGAAGAGATAAAAGTAAATACGAGACAGAAAATTTCCAGAACTGGTAATTGAAGTTGTTATGAATTTATGTATTTTCTGGGAAAGGCCTAAAGCTTCTCTTGAATTACTGCATTTGACCCTTAATGTCAGTTCATTTGTGATTTATTCTTTCACTAATACTATCTAACGTAGTCAGAAATTGTAGGCTGTTCACCCAAGTTATCTCTGTGATAATTGCACTGTTTTCCCCCTGTAATTGTATAGCAGCTCATTTACTTCCTAAATGTAGCATTAATCTTAAAAGAACTATGTATTAACAGACAGTTGCTTGCTCTTTTCTTAACTGAGCTGCAGTTTTCCAGTTAATTGTCTCTCTCTTTTCCTGCTAAAATTTTACAAGAGAATTTTTTGCTACAAGTTAGTTGGAGAATGGGCATCTGTAGAGAATTAACTGCATGTTATTTTTCATGCTTGCAAGAATGATAACTAAAAGAAAGGAGCATTGATTTTTGATTTATTTTTTTAATACTGGATCATTTTTTTCTTGTCCCCATGGATGTTGAATGTCTCTTCTTTCATCTGCTTCCCAAAAAGTTGTGTATCTTGAGAGCTTGGAGTCAGTTCTATGATTTAGTTGCGTTGTCCTCTGTGAAGACAGAGGAAGAACAAAAATCATAAAAACAAGTTTAATTTGAATAAATATGTAATATTGAATTTTTAAAATTAAGTATAATAAGAGTAAATGTAAAGATTTTAACATAAATGACGACAATTCTACCCTTTTGGCCTTCTGCATAAACACCTAATGATGCTGGCAATGTTCTGCTATTGAGATCCTGGCAGTGAAATAGGTAATTTTCAGGTGAAATAATTTGAGTGGCCTGTTGGTCAAAATTTTCAAAAGCAGTGTCTATAGGAAAAAAAAGCTTAATTGATAGTGGCTTTCAATGAACTTTGACTTCCAAACAAGAAGAGATCGCTAAGGTGTTCAAGGAGTGCAAAAGGCACATATGCGGATGGTGGACATAATATGATAGACAGCTCCTGTATTGAAGGAGCAAGTCATTCTGCAATTCCAGACTTGAAAAAAAAATTCCCCATGAAAATTTCCATTTAAAAATGGAAAGCAGTATCTTGTTTTAGTTCTATGAACAATTTTGTTGAAGACATTGGGAAGATGTTTTGGTCGACTCATCTTTGTTTTACTAGACAGTGTATTTTCTTTTACCCTGGACTCCTTGAATTTCCCCTTTTTCCATGATACTTTGAATAAAAGAAAAGTGTAAGAAAATTTCTGAACTGCTGAAGTAGGGGTTAGTTCCTATGAAAAATTGCCATAGGACTTGCATAGTTAAATTTGGTGCCATTTGGAAATCCCACTACCTGTCAGGGGAAGAAGTGTGGTACGAGCAGATGAATCAAAATAAGGTTTTCCAATCAAACACAATTGATTTCAAATTTTCAGGAGTGGGAAACGCCATAGAATTGTAAAAACATCCCCAATTTTTCTGATGTCCTTAGAGAGGATTGTGTGATGAGGAGAGTCTGAAAAGGAAAAGGAGATTTTGTCTTTTCCATTGGAAAATGATGGTACAGCAACAGTTATCCTTGCCCAGGTCGGTAATCCACTGTACTGCCAAAGAAGTTGAGTACTTAATGTCCTTATTTAGTGGGATTTTTTGGTAAGGCAGTTCCTGTATGGAATAGAATACACAACAGAATTCTCGGAGATGCAGGTGCATGACTTTATGATTTTGCCATGTATTGTTTCCTTAAAGAATGTTTTCTGTTCATCTGTACCTTTTGTTTTTAGATTTAGATACTTTTGTTGTTTATAGCAATGGGAGCCAAGAGAATTGGCACATCCCACCCAGATTTTGAGAATCCCATATTCCCTTAACTATCAGTCATGTATCTCAGCAAGAGAAAAAAAAAAGGTATAGAAAAGAAAGAACAGGGAAAGAAAATGGGCGTTTGTAACCTTTAATGTATCAGGCGTATATAAAAGTTTTATTAAAATTTATAGAGAACTGAAAAGAGGTTAGGAGGAACACAATTAGGTAATCACTTTCTATAAAATGCAATAAATTATGATTTCTCACTCTATATTTTGCTCTTCTGAGGGTAGATGAAACAACCTTTGTTTTCAGACTGTAATTCCCTTCCTGATTTTCGCCACTCACAAGAATAGCAAGCTGTTTCATGGGTGCTGCTGAGCATGTGGGGACATTAGAGAGGCTGCCAGAAAAGTATTACACTGTAGTCTTATATTTCTTAGCTGCTTCAGTGGGTGAAGGAGAGAGAAAGCTTCAATTGACATGCTGAGTAACAAAGGAAAATGTCTACATGCTGAAATGGTGTTGTAAAGGCAGAGCAATTATAAATTCTCTTTATTACATCAATCAGGTTGTCTATATCATGTATGAGACTATGTATAAGGTGAGAGAAGATTACAAGAAAATTTTGGGAATAAAAACCTATTGAGTACTTTCCAAAAATTACTTTCCCTGCAGAAGTCTTTTGAGGGTGAGGAGTGATTCTAGGCATCATCATTCATATAAAGTGAAGAATTCCTTCTATACTCTTATTCCCGAGAGTGTTGCTTTTTTTTTTAACTTGCTCCGTGACTTTTAACTTAGATGTAAAACTTTCACTTTTTTCATAGTGAAATATGATACTTTTAAGAACACACTGTACATCAAGACCAGTGTCAGACAAAAAGGAAAAGACATACCAAGAAATCATTATGGTTGGAAATAAAGAGGTACTATGTTTTTGTCAGGATTAAGGGAAAAGAGAAACCATTTTCTCTTTAAAATGCACATCACTCACTTGAGTTTTCCCTTCAGGTACAAAGCAGATTTAAAAATAGTTTTAATAAAAAAGCCTTTAGGAAGGGAATTGAAAATAAAAAGAGTAGGTTTTGAGAATAATAGATGAGAGGGTTTTTTTAAAAAAATAATCTTGTTTTCCTCACTTACCCTTGGTGAATGCAGTCATTCCATGGCAGATTTACAAAGCCAGATAACTGAAAAATATTCTTATTGGTATTTTAGCATTTAAATATCTCCTCTAAAATTGCTTTTATTTATTTGTCACATGGAGAAAATGAAACTATTTCTTTATTGGTGAAATTCCTCCTTACACTTATGCTCTAGCATGGGCTAACTGAAAAATGAAGGTATTTTTTGATTCTTTACATGAAAGATTTCTGTTGTTCTTGAAAAGGCCCCTAAGCCCCATTTTCAAAATACTAAATCATTCATTCAAAAATTGTGTGTCATTTTGAAAGTTTACCAACAGCAATACCTTTGTCCTTTTTCTCTATTTAAAATTATTAGATTTTGATTATCTTAGTGGAAGAGCAAGAGTGTTCAATGTATTCTTAAAGATTCCTTGAGGTGAGCTAAGACAGTGACTCAATCCCTTGTGTTCTGTAATGCTATTGCCAGTCTGGCCAGACACCCTCTCCTGAAGTCTGAAAGCAAAGGTCAGTGATGACTCCACAGAGCAGAGCCGTTGGCCAGTGCTTGCTGCAAAGAATTAATCCTTTTCTGGAGCATCTCGTGTGTCTTTTTGTATGATACACAGTTTGTGCTGCTCTCAAACGTCTCATTGCATACAAATTGTTGTATCAACTGTGGTAGATTGCAGTTGATACAAAGTGGAGAATATCAACTGAAGGAAAGAGGAACACACATGCAATAATCCTATCTGTGCAGTGACGAGAGTGGATGGAACCTAGATAAATATAATGTGCTAAATAGCTGCCTAAAACCAGGTATAACTATACAACTGTCTTCTGACCTTTGTGAAGTCTTACATGACTCATGGAAAAGATGACATTAAATACTCAGCTTGTAAATAATTTTGGGTTGTATCATTAACTACTATAGCTTCCTATAAACCTTTGAATGACATCATTCAATATATATTCAAAATTTTTAAATATATGCAAACTGTAATGTGGAAACCTGGTCTTTTCATCTCTACAACAGGTAAGTCCCTACAGCTGGGCATAATGCCTTAAAAGGGTAGAAAGGCTGCTGGTGGCATGTGTCACATTATGAGAACTTGTTCTGCTCCATTACCACTGGAACCTCATTGAGTATAGTTCTATAATGTTACAGTTGTGGTTCTTTTGTTCTAAGTGCAGTTATTAGTTAAGGACTTTGGGGTCTCCCTCTAGTATGACATTGCCAAAATTGATAAACAAAAGAAATTTCCTGTTTCTATAACACACTTGCAACAAAACATTGCTTCTGAAGCTTATGGCTTGTTGACTCAGTAAGGAGAGATGATAGTGGAAGTTGCTATTTGAATAATTCACTGTACTTTCTACATGACAGGATGGGGTCAGAGCAGAA